CCACCCCAGTTCAACCGCGAGCAATTCGAGAGCAAGGCTTTCGAGTTTAGGACAGGGATGACATGCGTCGATGTGTGGGATGAGGAGATAATCAGGCCATTGGTGCCTTTGTTGTATCGGTACGAAAATAGTGAGTCGATTCCGTAAGCGACAGAGGGTGCCGAATAGCACTCGAAGAGGATCTCGTTCATCACTACGCGGGTCAGATCATAGTCCTGGTAAACAAGCATTTACTTACTTCTTCTGGGATAGTTCAGATTCGCGATCGGCTCTGTCATTACAATAGGCCGATCAACGCCTCCATTGGCGCCATCAACTCCCAGCTTGATGAACACGTAGTCCAGCAGTCCCTCCATCACTTCCCAGTTTCCAACCACACTTGTACCGGGGTCAAAAGCATACCGCAGCTGTCCTCTAGTCGTAGCATCGACATAGGCGTCGTAACCGATAAATTGACAAGCTTTGTTGAGCTTTCGATCGCGGTACCGACTCATCACGGGGGGAAGGATAAAGCGCGGCGACTTGTCGAAAGACCAACCGGCCTTGAGAAGACTTGATCCTGCCGTAGCAAACCAGAGTCAGTATGCTTTGACAGTCATCTGAACCAAACAAGCGAAATAGAACCGACCATTATCAATCACGATAGCGCTTGTAGAGGGTTTCGACCTGCTCCGTTCATACCCATCGGGTTGCGGCGGTTGATACCCTTTGAACGGATTATCCAGGACATTGTATATTTTTGGGGGAGGCTTCGCCGCGTTTTTCTCGGTGGGAGTGGCCGCAACGCGACCGGGCAAAAGGGTCTGCACTGAAGTAATCGTCATGGCGACTAGGTGTAGAGGACAAATCGGAGTAGCAACTCAGTGTCCGTGAGCGATTTACCGCATCGTCAAATCAGTTGCGAGAAGGAGGTAACAGGATAGAAGCGGTTTGACAATTCCAATATGCAATGGCGCACGACGCTGCTGCTCTGAATCCGTGGATGACGGAGCGAGCGTTGACTCTGAAGGGCGATCGGAAGGAGGAATCTGATCCCCAGCTTTGGTTGGCAAGCGACTCTGGCGGCGTTTGTATACTGCCAAGCCCGACTTGCAGTTGATGAGATTGCTCCACTTATAGGCAATCAACATCAACAATTGTCTCTTTGGAGATGCATTGGCTATAGCCGGCATAGTAGTTCTTGATTGACTTTTTCTTCTTGCGCTATCTACCTTTGATCGCTTTTATCTCTATTCTTCCTCAGACTACGAAAAAGTGGGAGAATGAGAAGGACTTTATGATATATGAGGTCGTATCGTTCATGACAAGCTAAATTCGAAAGAAAACAGGCGTGCAAAATCATCATCCTTATTGCGGCTCCTTCAGATTATCCGTAGCTACATCAGATCAGTAAGACTGTAGCCTTCTGAGTGGTAGGACAACTCATACCTTCCAAGTGGAAGAGAACATTAGACTGGTAGTTCTTGAACATCTGAGCCACAAGCTCCACATTCATGTTCTGGATGTTGACCTCCTGATAGACCAGTGAGCATGAGACCATCAAGCATGAGCAGAAGAAGCTTACCTGGAGGCTCTTGTTCATAACCATAATTGACTCGTTGAGTTTCTCCTACCGGCAATCAGTCATGCAGGCCTCCACAGCGTGGGCGATAGTGACGTACAATGTTGGTGATAATTCGAGAAAGCAATAGCGCTTGCTGGTGCTCGTGTGGACTCTCCTAAGATTATTTGTCAGTTTATCATATAAAGAAAACTTCATTTCCACCCACCATTTTTGACTTGTTATCGAGATGGGCGCAATGTACTGAGTTAAGAGTCAGTGTTTGTGTATTGCGAGACTGTTAGGTATCAACTCCAACTATCACGTGATCTACAGTTGTCTTTGTTTCCTGCTGTCACTGCGCCCCATGAGCGACAGGAAGTATTAGAATATGGTGAAAATAAAAATACGAATTCCAGAGATCTAAACTTGCTTAACTGCTATTCCGTTGTCCCAACACTGTGCCAATTGACTTGGGAGAGTGTCCGCCGTTTGTCATCCGGTTACCGTACCGGCGAATGACCATGTTCCAGACACTTTGAGCTTCTACCACAACATCAAGGTTAAGATTCTCTACAACGTCAAGATAGCGCATCACCCACTCCATCTGCATCGTCCTTTACAAAAACAAGTCAACAATCATGGGTGCCCCTCCTACTCCTGCCGAAAGTCAGGAACATCAGCAACTCCTCAACCGCCTGGACATCGCCCAAGTTCCACGCCCCTTCCGCAACACGAACTGGAGGCCATCGCAGCGTCGCAACAAGAACGTCAAACAACTGATCTCCGAGAACTCCAGAAAGGAGGCATCTGTTATGGCGACACAGGCGAACTCTGGCGCATCGACTCCTTTACAACCCAGCACCGACGGCAGCCAAACACCCGTTGACAGCTCCGCTCGCACGAACATCGCCCAGGCGGCGCAGAACCTGTCGACGCTCGTATTGGAGAAGAATGCAAGGGCCATGCTTCCATCAGGGCCAGCGGTCACTTATACCAACATTGAATCGGCTCCATCACTCCATCCGTCACAGCACACGCGCTACTGCGATATCACGGGGCTTCCGGCACCATACACAGATCCCAAGACTCGGCTCAGATACCATGATAAAGAGGTGTTCGGGGTCATTCGGACACTCAGCCAAGGTGTTCCCGAGAGCTATCTCGAACTGAGAGGAGCTCATGTCGTGCTGAAATAGACGGTCATCCATCTCATGTTACGAAAGTTCTACGTTCGTGCACACCAAAAGCAGGTAGGTTACAATATAACTCCGTGGAAACTCAGAATTCAGATATTAACTTGTTGCTCTATTCAGACTATCAGTTGCAAGATACGAGTGCATGTACGACCAACACAGTCAAGCCCTTTCCACCCGCCGTGCCCCTCTCGAGACAGGTTCAAGAAAGCGCTCCGGCTTATTCGTGATCTTTAAGAGAATCGATCTTCGCCTCGTGCTGAAGCACTCGACTATTACCGACGCTCCACGGACGGAGCGTCAGTTACAGCATCCGGAGATGCTGTCGTCGCGGCGTATACTTGGGTTGTTTATGGCAGAAGCCAGGAAAGGACAGAAGGGAACTCATGAGCGAAGGGGTTGTGGACCCCAGATTGATCGTGGCTTATCAATTCCAGACATCATCCGATTCATCATTCAATATTCCGAGTTCGGATCCTTGATAGGTCCTAATGGATTTTTTGTAGCCAGTCCAATGTGACCCTTTCCACCTGACTAGGAGTTCAGCATCTTGAATCGTAGAAAGCGGGAACAGGGCGTCAACAGGCCATAGTAATCTCATCGCAAGTCGATTTGGCAGAGGAGGCAAGAGGACACGAGAGAAAAACACCCAGTTGTGCGGGTTTTCGGTAGTACGTCCAAGCGCCACAGACCGCCCACCGCATCCGGCATAGCCATCCTCAGAGCCAAAAACGAACGTGGCAGAAACGAAAATGTTGGGAGCATGCGTTTATTTACTGAGTTTCAGGGAGATTTCTTGAATTTCTGCTATATTCCAGTGCATCAACTCCAGATTTGTCCCTGACTACAGAGTACTCGTCGCCGCGACACTCGACTGACCTGGGATCCCTATACGCGAGCAACGAGTCGCCTCAATTTGTGTACAGTGATACTCCGTGATTCACCTACCAAACCCTCAAGATGCCCACCATGTGGCTCTCAGACAACCAAAGTAGGACCGCCGGAGCATCCGATCAGAGCGCTTGCTAACATGTATAACAGAAATTGGTGTCATCTTTTGTTCTGCAGGTAGGCGAGACCGAATCCACTCCGGGGGATCCTCTCCCCTTTTCTTCGTTCCGTCGATATGCTCAGCCATGGACTGACATGGTGCGGCTATAGGAGGCCTGTTCCTTTTCGGAGGCGTTTTAATGTTCTTTGACCGTTCGCTGTATGTATCCTTCTTGATATACCTCCTGGGAACATTCATGCTAACGTTGAGACCTAACACAGACTCGCGATGGGAAACGTGCGTACCCCATTCTCCCCAATCCCGCGCTGCCATTGACCACGCGACAACCGCCGAAAGACCGTAGCTAACGTCGCAACAGGTCCTTTTCCTCATCGGCTTGACGTTAATAATTGGAGTTCAACGAACACTCGCCTTCTTCTCGCGCCGCCAGAAACTCAAGGGCACTGCCGCTTTCGCAGCAGGCATCCTCCTCATCCTGTTTCGCTGGCCACTGACAGGTTTCCTCATCGAATTATACGGTCTCTTCATCCTTTTTGGCGACTTCCTCGTAACAATCGGTCAATTCGCAGGCAACATCCCGGTCGTCGGTCCTTATATCAAGACGGCATTGGAGACCCTGGCTGGTGGGAGACGGAACGCAGAGCTCCCGGTATAATAACCACAACGCACGCCAGAGACCGGCTGCTTGGGCACGAGTCTTCCCAGGAAGACGAAAAGGAGTATCCACGATGTTACGTGTACGACTATACAGACATGAACGATTTCAGACGGCCATGACACGGCATGAAGATCACGACCACTTTCGCGGCTTCGCTTCCTGATAGGTTGAGCGAGGCCAAAGGGGATGGGTCTGTATGAGCTGATGTGATATATATTTTATACTTTGTAATTACTAATCCTTCGTGCGTCGGTAGCAGTTTCCTGCCACCGACTCTTATCTTTCTTTGATGCACTATATGATATATAGAAATAGACACTGGCAAATCCAACGCTTGGTGTGCATCTAGATCGTGCGTAAGAGATTGTGCATATTCATATGATTCAAGTCGCGAGTGTACTAAAACCAGTACATATTGAAGATATCTACGTGCTATAGACAGTTAAGACATGACGCTGAGAAGAAAGGTCACCAGCATAGTTTCACATCCGACTAAGGAAAAAGTGGTACACCGCTCTTGTGCCGTTTCGGAATAAAAAAGATACAGAAAATCGAACAATTAAGACAACTTTATTTTCCGCGTTCCTCTATCGTCTACCGGGGATTGTTGATGTAGTCGACGAGGTTCTCGACAACGGTTGCGGCGTTGGTGGTCTGGACGGCCTCGCCGTGGTGGGCGACCATGACGCAAGAGACGGCCTTGACGACGACGATGCCTTCCTTGCCCTATAGTGATTGACCGTTAGCATTCACCATTTCCCTGTGACCTCAAAGGTCGATAACTGCATATGAAAATGTAGTTGGATACCTTCTTGCCGTAAAGACTGCGGTCATCAGCCTTGATGGCGACGAACTTGTCTCCTCCGACCACAAAACCGGTTTCGAAAGCACTGCCGGGCTTGTCGAAAGCAGCCTTCAGACCGGCGATTTCCTCCTTCGAGATCTATAGCGAGGCGAGAAAGTTATTGATGTGATCAGGAGGGGTGCTTGTTTCCGTGGACATCGCCAGGGATTGGGCCGGAGCTCCGCCAAATGAGATGCCAATGTCGGAACGTTCTTCATACCTGGAAACCAGGGGACTGGGCCTCGACGTCGGAGAAGTCATAGCTCAGGATAGCGGCCTTGTCAAACTGGCCGGAGCCCATCAGACTGGTAGATTTGGCTCAGGTCAGAAAAAATGTGGACGAAGAAGATTGGTGATGCAGCGAAGGCGGGGTAGAGGTGGGATTGTACGGTACCTGGAGTCAACATATCCTGTTCGATAGAATTCAGACGTTAGCTTTGATTCATCTTCTGTGGTAACCACCTGCTAAAGTCTATAACGAAATATCCAACGAAATAGCCGTACCTTGCCAAACTGCCGAGTGCTGACCCATGTTGGCGGTCGTGTAAACAAATTAACGGGATGGAGCGGATAAGGGGAAGCTATATTGTCGAGTCGTCAGATAAGATCAGCCAAGAGGGAGGACGGACTAGCAGGGATTAGACTGACGGGAAGAAGAAGGAAGAAAGCGACAAGAAGTCACAGCAAAAAGTTGGAGATGATGATGGAGGTTGTGGGTTGAAGAGGGGAAGAGAGCACAAGGTGATATTTAGAGTGGTGGGCGAGAGAGACAGCAACGACAAGCTAAGGTAGGTAAAGTCAGGTTCAGGTGGGGTGGTCTATCCGTCTGGGAGGCAACGCCCCGCCATTCTTTGTCGTGATGGTCATACTGAGAGTCAGCGAGTCTGTGACTGACAATTGATTCCATTGCTCGCTATCATAATATTACGCAAAGTCCCATTCTAGGGCCTGTTGATATATTGATCCTCAAAAGTGTACCGTGATATTATCCAGCGTCTCCATCTTGTCACTTTCAGCAGTTGTATCACAACGGCTCTAGTTTGAAAGGCAGCCACCTTAGTTGACGATAGTTGCTAGGCTATTCTGCTGCTTTGTCTAAGTACGTCCAAGTCTCTTTCCACAGTTCCACTTTAAACAGAAACCCAGCAACACCCACCGATCAACAGAGTTTGTTCTTTGGCCTTCCCACTATTTCTTGCTGTCATCAACAGGGTCTTCTTCACCGCCTGTTCTGGTCTGAACTGTTTGAGTCTCGTCGATGTGTGCGCCCGACTCTCGTCATACTGAAGTTTTGCTCGGCGCCTATCTTGAGATGTCGTAGCCTAAGTACTTGATATCTTTGTCTCATGGGGTCATGGATTCTGTATGGAGCACGTGCCTGTCATCTCTGTACACTAGTCAGCCAGTCACGCGGCGATCATGTGTGTCTCTTCTGCTCTAGGATTCTTGCTGGTTTCTTCAATAACCTCGAAGACATCTTACCAAGACTCTATCGTGCAGATGACCCTACCGTTTTCTATGTCGCTTCCTGTAAGAATAGACGACAATACGGGAAAATGTTATTTGATAGCGACAATACCCTGCAGGGTGCTTTTCATCTAGTGACACAACATTCGCAATCGGAATAGCCACACGGGATCTGTTTTCATCGCGAGTTTCATAATTGCCTTGCCTGAGGGATAACCACCTTTATTGCAATCTCACGCGAAGGGAGACATCTATGTTCTAAATCATGGTCCATTGCGAAATCCTCCCTGAGGTTTCCAGACCACCGGTCGAATTACCGGACGACTCAGCCTTATTGCAGGATCATAGAGTGACAATTGACAAAAGGCCTGTGCTGTCTACGGCAGCTCCTGGCGCTTAGCATCTATCTACTTGCTGATTATCACGCTTCTCCCATAATTGCCAAGGTACCATGCCTGCCAATTCATTACGTGGACGGGGAGGACAGCCCGGGATTTTAGCCAGATGTGTGAGATTGAAATTAACTTAGTCTCTCGGGTGTTGAAAGATCATTGGCTGATCCACCGTTGTTTCAAACAGAATGAAACTTCGCACTTCAATGTCTCGGGCATCCTAACAGGAGCTCCGGGATTCTTTCATCTGGTGTTGTTATTGGTACATCAGCGGAATACCCGAATCTTGCTGGCCCGTGGTTCGACGTCGGATGATTTGGCTCGAAATCTGCGACAACTTTTGATACCGCAATCAAATCAAGCATCCCGTGCGACACTTCATGGCGTCCAGGGCTGACTGCAGTGTGCGCTGATGCACTGGTATCGCTCAGCGCGTCCCTTCCCCCGACGATTCTGGTCAGATGGACAGTATACAGCTCGCGCTACACAGATTATTCGGTTGATCTTCTCTTGTCCCGACGCGGCGCTAGATGAAGTGTCCCTTAGATAAATATCTGAAGGCGTCGTCAAATCTACATTTAATCTAAAATCTGACACTAGCCAGCCCACTACCAACAATATCAACCAGAGGCAATCTGTGCCTGTTGCTCCACAATGGTTAGTTACTAGACCCCAGAGCGAATCGTGTCCGCGCCTCCCTTTATTATCAGACTTGAAGCCACTCTCGCTGTCGTTGCTGGTGCTGCTTCTCACCCGCCATTGCTCACAACCACTGCAAAGGCCTTCTGGAAGGCTGTCCATTCGTTTAATTTTGTTAATTTCGAGACTGTGTCTTTCGTTCATTCTTTAGACTCACGTTCATTCGTTCCATCTGTCAAGTATTCCCCCTTCATTTCCTTCTTCTTGCAGTCGGCCAGCAAAATGGCTCGAGGCATCTTAGGGAGGTCGCGCGCACCAGAGGCTATAGAGATCATTTCAAACCCGGTTTTGAAGTATTCCGACGCATTACCACGGACAGATCTGAGAGATGTCGAGAGCGTGGCCAACAACAGCCGCCCTGTAAACCGCGCCGTTGCGCAATGGGACTTTCAGCGCCCCAGGACAGCAGATGGACGTAAACCGATCAAGAAGGGGCAAGGTCTCAATCCCGGTTTCGATTTTCAGATCGCCATACCTCCCGCTGAAGCGGTACCCTTACCCAAGAGCCCTGATGACGATCTGAATGCAAACATGATCGGTATAGCCTTAGGTAGCCCTCGCATGGCAGAACCGCAGAGTATACTCTCGCAAATGCAAGAACAGCCGCCCGTTTCAACTTCGGCGAGCCCCGAACAAGCCTCGCCCCAAACGAAAACCCCCAAGCGCAAACCGAGCAAATGGAGGAAGCTTGGCGGATTGTTCAAGGCCAAGAATGCATTGCCAGCTACGGCCAACCAGCCATTCTATCAGCTTCGCTGTACTGAGGAGTGGCCTCTACAGGAGTCCACCCATTCAGTCGACTACGAACACCAATGTAAGGCTGAAAAATCGGAGCCTGAGAACATGGCTCCAACACCTCCTAATCTTCCAGATTTAGAGATATGGCCGTGTCCCGAGGGGCAGAATGAACCCCAATTCTACGCTCAAAGCAGCTTGGAGACAGCCCCCCAAGACTCGGCCAAGAATAATGACCTTGGACCTGGTGCAAAGCCGCGCATTGCAGGACCTTTTTTGCAAATCGACATTCCTGATGTCCAGCTAGAAAGGTATAGCGTCATGTTTGGCGGTGTTTTGAATCAAAACGAGCCCTCGTTGTTGAAGAGGCGGAGTAAGACTTTGGAGGATGTGAGGATCCCAAAGCCAGATGTATGTATCCTGATTTGCTGTGCAACCATGTTTCTTTGACTGAAGCCGTGATTAGGCATCCATACCAACACCAGAATTTCAATCACCTCGACGACGGGCGACATCGCCGCAACCACGACTTCCCAGCTTCAATCTGTTCCCCACGCAAGCGCCTGTCAGTAAGGCGTCGAAGGTTCTGGGATCTCAGAACATACCAAGAGGCCCCAGCCCTTTGCATCGAAGCCAGACATCGCTCGCGGAATTAGGCCGACAGACACCTACAAATGATCCAAATCACGTCCTCTTGATGGTGCAGAGTCCATCCATCAAGTCCCCCATGTCGCATCAAACCAAGGACTCCGTCTCGTCGACAGTGTCAATGGATTCAACCGAGGAAGAGCGCCTTCTGCAGAAACTCAAGCAGAAGAAAATCTACGTGGACAAAGAACAGGAGCCTGAATGGGAAATTATCAGCAAGAAGCCCACAATCGAGGCCTCAAGTCCACGTCCCAGCCCTATTCAGATCCCAACTCCCAGCCCAAGGCAGAGAACACCACCCTTGGCCCTAGCGATTAACACCCAAGCCTTGCCATCCACGCGGTCCAGCATAAGCTCCGCCCCATCCCCCCACCTCTCACCCATCAACTCCGCCGCGCGCGACAAGACCGAGCGCATCAGATCTCCAATGGAGACTCTTTCCGCACTCTCCCCCTTCTCGACCACACGCATGCCCCTCAGCGACGATAACGAGGACATCGAAGCGAACGAGGCTATGGACCCCATCCCCAAGGTCGAAGTCTCCATCGCCAGATCCGTCTCCGTCTCACGAGGAAAGAAGCAGGTCATCGTCCCCATCAGGCCAAGGGCGGAGAGACTGAATCCCGACGAGAGGCTCGTAGTCCGACAGGCGAAGACCCCACAGGTACGAGATGCGCACCACGGCCATCGGCATGGGAATTCGCAGGACGCGCGCATTGAAACTATATAAACCCCTGCGTGAGAATTCCGTCAATCTATGCATTTGCTCGTGTTCTCACCACAGGCACCGGATTTCTTTCTTCTGACTATGTTGTTGGTGACGATTTATTGTTTATTTACGTCTATCAGCTTCTGCATTACATTAAGGCTTGAATCTTTGGTCATTATAGCCATTTGTTTGCTTCGGCGGTGCCAGGGCGATCTTTTTTGTGTACATATTTATCTGCAGGCAGTACAGGAAGGATCAGGGGGCGCGAAGTATCTTAGGTTATACTCTTAGAATTTTCATATATGACGAATCAACGCTTCCGTTTCAGATTTTCTCGCATGTATCATCTTGTCTATATTCTAGAGAATAGGTAATGCCATATTTCCTTGCTAGCTTGTTTCGATATTACCGTGAGTAATTACGCCTTCTCAGGATAATTCGACGACTCAGGCACACTCTGCGTCTCGGGCTTCAACTCTACCTCCACATTCGACACCACCCACTGCATCCCGGGATAGGTATCACTGATAACCTTGACATTCACACCCTTCCCGGTCGCACTGGTATACTGCGCCAGGAAATCCTGCGGAAACTTGACGGACGACCGCACAGTGAGCGGGCCATTCCGATAATTATTCCTGCCGGAGGAATTCTGGCTGGAGCTGGAGCCAGAGCCGGAATGCGAACTCTGGTTCTTGTTATTTGAAGGCCAGGACACGCGCTTCAGAGCAAGCAGCTCGCCGTCCTTGCCGTCTGCGGAGGCGCTGCAGACAATCAGGAAGTATCCCTCCGTTTGGGGCTTGGGGAAGCGAGGCGCGTAGACTCTGTGTTCGGGGTTTGTGGGCGGGTTGCGACGACTCAGAGATACGGTGATACCGGTCGAGGAGACATTGGCGACGGACACGGAGATCTGTGGTAGATACGAGGCGGCCTTGGTGAATTGCGCAGGAAGTTGTAGTTTGCGGGCAAGTCCGGAGACGGAGGCTGTGGGGAGGGACGAGAGGGCAACAAGGGAGCCTGGGAGGCCCTGCAGCTTGGTTGCGGGCTCGATGCCGGGAAGAATCGACAGTGCGTTGTCCTCGGGCCATCTTGCGGACTTGATGCTCTGCAGCAGGCTCACGAGTGTCTCGCAGGCGCGGATATACCCCAGCTCAGCCATGATGTCGATAGAGGCTTGGATGATACGGATGCCTTGATCCAGGACGGATGTCTGGTCACCGACGTAATCGGAAATCGGGAGATCAATTCGCGACATGTAGGCCTGCAAGAGCAGGAATGCCTTGACGTGTGGATCCCACAGCGGCAGGTCTCCCATGGATTCAACCGACAAGGGCAGATTGCGAGCTAACTCGGCGTTGATGAGATCTTCGTTGTGTCTGACAGGCAGCTCGTCGAATTCTGTGGCGGAACACATCCAGCTAAGCACATCATGGAACGTTGGATTAGGCTTTGCATGCGACATCAGATACCGGACAGTCTTGTGCGAGAGATAGTAGTAACTCATGATCTTGCCGAACGGCGTTGAGTCGACCTCGCCAGTTGCCGAATCGAACACAACACAAGATGACTCTGCCAGCTCGCCAAGAGACTCGTCGACTAAGTCAATCATGAAGTCTTGAGCTATTGCTTGAGCAGCCATTGTATTATGTTCCTCCGCCGAAATCTCAAGCCCATAATATGAAGGATTCTTGTGCAGTCTGCGGAAGAAAAATGTCCATGTCAAGTAGTCCAGAGCGTCTTGCTTCGTTGCGATCGTGCCGGCGGAAATTTCGGCTCCCAAATGGTTGTCCAGGACCTTGTGCAAGGTAGACTCGACCGGGAAACCAGTGTGCAGGAAATGCTTGTAGAAAGCTTTCTTCGACTCTTGCGTAAAAATGCGTGCAATACCAGACGAGTCGAACTGCGGACGTCCAGCGCGGCCCAACATTTGCAGAACGTCGGTCAAGTCCATGTCTCTGTAACCTTCAATTTTCGCGTCGAAGTACTGCGTGCCTTTGACTACAACAAGATGTGCCGGAAGGTTGACACCCCATGCGAGGGTACTTGTTGCCACGAGAATCTGGATTTTGTTGTTCGCGAAAAGTTCCTCCGCCAGTTGTCGGTCAGACTCGACTAGACCGGCATGGTGCAAGCCGATACCAAAACTGAGTGCCTCGCGGAGCGCTTCGTCTTTGACTCTCGCGAGGTTTAGTTGCAGATCCTCCTCCGACATACGCACGAAGCGTCGCGGATTGTCTTCCATGCCGCAGTAGTTTATCAGGTCTTTCGCAGTCAGTCGAGTTTGTCTTCGGGACGCAACAAAGACGATCACAGGCTTCTCTGGAGAGTGGCTCTTGATCGCAAGGAACGTAGGGCGGTTCATAGACTGCATGAGCGGGCAGAATCCACGTTGCTCAGGGAATCCATCAATGTAGATCTCCAAGGGTACTGGGCGCACAGAGTGTCGGAAATTGAACAGTCCCTCTTTGACTCCCAGCCAGTTGGCCAGATCAGTGGCATTTGCGCAAGCCGTAGACATACCCATCAGCCGAACCGAACCCTTGGATTGCGATGCAATATAGTTCATACGGGACACGATAATCTCCAGAATGGGGCCTCGATCGCCGCCTAACAGGTGAATCTCGTCGATGATTACCAAGCTCACTTTCCGCACATAATCTCTGGTCTGCCAACTACGAGAGATACCGTCCCATTTCTCAGGAGTCGTGATAATGATATCCGCGTCCCGGATGGTCCTCGTATCAGGAGTGTTGTCACCTGTCAATTCCACCAACTTCAGACCCATCGGTGCGGTGAGACGTTTGCCCCAGTCCATGACTCGCTCGCGGACGAGAGCCTTCATCGGTGCAATATACACGACCTTTGAGCCTGGTTTCTCCCTGAAAGCCCACCACATTGCCAGTTCACAAGCCACTGTCTTTCCACTTCCAGTTGGAGAACCGAGGAGAACATTGGCCGAAGTGTGGTACAGCAGATGGAAAATCTGTGTCTGCATTGGGTTGAAGAACTGGAACCGCTGGCCGTAGAGCTCTTCCAAGATGGGGTTTTTAAGGGCAGAGATAGGCAGCGGCTGTAGATTAAGGAGGTCCGTATACACGCTTTCCGTGTCTGGCCGGATCAAATGCTGAAATGAGACGGGTGTCACCGTCTCTGCACCCAACCAGCGATCAGAGATTGCGCGAACGTAGATCTGGCTCGGTAAAGGGTCTGAGAGAGGAATGGTGAAGTTGAGCTCATGTTCATCATGCAACTTCTTCCGGCTGAGAATGAAGTATTCATGGTGATAGATTTCCGAGGTTTCCGAGTTCTCGACCCAGATCCAGTATGCTTCGGACGCTCCATGGTGCCTGTCATTCCAAGTGAACTCGGGATACAGGCTCAGCCGAATTCGCAAGACGTCCCGATTTAGAGGAGCAATCTCAGCCTCTACGCTGAGAGTAGGGAAATTGTCCAGTAATTTGGACAGCGTCTTTCCCATGCGCTGGTTATGGACGAGCTGGCCGATTTCGGCAACGTCCATCTCCCTCATCGACTCTAGTGATGAAGTGGGCAACTTCTCATCAAGATTCTTGAGTATCGGTTGGGGGAGATCGAACTGATGAAATGGATGATCAAAAGGCCAGATCTGTTTCTCAATAGACTTGCAGAGCGACAGAAGCACCTGGCATTGATAACCCCACCGGCGGTTCAACGCAATCATGAAGAGAGCACGGCAGATACGAGCAGCATTCTGCGCTACGTAGCCCATATCGGAAACCAGAGCAAAGTCCTCGAGCTTTGCACGGGAGATGTACGACTGCAAAAGAATATTAGTCTTCGCGTGAGGAGAATCGTTGCCACCATCGACTTCTGTCTGAATAGCTTCGTCACGAAGCCGGTCTAGCTCTTTCGACTCGTTTTCCCGAGCTTGAATGTTGTCAAATTCGCCGCTCATACTGATCATCCTCAGGACATCTGCCTCACCAGAACGAGGGCGCATCATCTCATTGAAGATCTCAATACTGGTTTGCAAAACGTAATACTGACTCGCAATTCGGCCGACGTCCTTTGCCCGCAGTTCCTCGGTTTTCTCATTGAATATGATCATCTGACTCTTTTGCAGGACGCGCGCAGCTTGAATGATCAGTTGGCGCCGTCTCTGCACCAACATGGGGTCATCGCGAATTTCAGCAAAGTCAATGCCGTAATTGCGTGGCTCGCGCAACATGCGGACAAAGAGATACGAGTAACCAAGCCATTGCACACCCTCGGAAACAGACGTGACTGTACCCAGAGAGATCTCGGCATTCAAGTTGTCGACGAGTCGACTGGAGAACCGAGATTCAATCGGCTGCTGCGAGGTCACTGCAGACAGGTAGTGGTGCAGTTTGTCGTGCGTAGTACAGATGAAGCCAATACCGGTATCTTGAAATTGGGGACGTCCAGCACGTCCGAAGATCTGCAGGACATCAAGGATACCGAGACCGACAAATTTACCTTCCTGTGGATTATACAGCTGAGTGCCTTTGATCACGACTGCAGCGGCGGGAAGGTTGACACCCCAGGCAAGAGTGGCAGTACAGCAGAGCACCTTGATCAGGCCCTCGGAGAACATGCGCTCCATCAGGTTGCGGTCACTTCGAGTCATTCCGGCATGGTGAGTACCAAATCCGCTGGCGAACAAGTCCCTCAACTCACGCGCCCGCGCATGCTTCATATCTCTGAGGGCGTTGGAGTAGTTCTCGTGTTCATGGCAGCTGAAGAGGTCTTCACAGCCGTTCTCGACTGCCATTTGTCGCAGCATTCGGGCGGTCAAAACAGTGTCTTTCCGTGAATGCACAAAGACCATGATCTGATGCCCTCGCTCGAGCATCTCACGCACTTTCTCGAAGGCCACGATGTCCAGATTTTCGCGGGATTGTTTCGAGCCCGGCTTTCCTTTCACACCAATGAAATGCTGTTCAAGAGGGACTGGTCTAAACGATGCATCAAAGAAGAACAGTCCAGCCATCTTGTTCACTTTCAGAAACTCGGCTACGTCGACATAGTTCGGCAGAGTAGCGGAAAGGCCAACTATACGAATGAGGGACTGTGTACTTTCAACCTGTCGCTGCGTTCGGGCAACTAGAGATTCTATGACGGCACCACGTTCGTCGTGAAGCATGTGGACCTCATCGATGATCAAGAGGCGCACTTTCTGCACGAGCTCCGTGTCTCCTGTGCTCTTCCGGGTGACGACATCCCATTTCTCAGGAGTCGTGACGATAATCTGCGTTTCGACAATCTCTCGCTTCGTAAGTTGCATATCCCCAGTCAATTCCCTGACTCGGATACCAAGCCATGCAAGTCGTTTCCCGAGTTTCTCAGTGACCTCCGCGGCTAAGGCCTTCATCGGCGCCACATAGACAATCTTGAAGTCGTCCACCTGTACTGCGAACTCCGTAGCATCTGGCTGTTCAATAGGATTCGGCACTGTATTCTTGCCAATCGTATTAAGGATCGTCAGCATGGCAGCGTCAGTTTTACCAGCACCAGTTGGCGCACAAATGAGCATGTTTTCACTGGTTTTGTATGCCACATCATAGAGCAGACTCTGCATCCGATTCAGCGTCTTGTAGCCCTTGAAGGTCCCCCTACACAGTCCATCCAGCGACTTAATCTCAACCAACTTCTGCGACGACGCCAGCGTGCCCACCCTCGACGCCGGGATCTCAAACTCGGTATACCGCTGCTCATCAATCTGCTTGCTACCCACCGGGAGCCCGTATCTCTTCCCACCTAGCGCAAGCGTATTCCTGGAATCATGCGTCTTGAAGACATGCGGGTACCTGGGCTCAGATCTCGCCTGCGCAGGTAATAACGGTGCATGCTTATGCTCAAAGTCCTGCTGCCGCAACGCCTGTTCCCGCTCCGCCCTTGTTTGCAACTTCCCCGCCATGAGACCGTCCGTCTGGGCTTCTGTCTTCGAGGTCATAGACGCGAGGATCTCCGCTCGGTGTCCGATCAATTCAATGACGAAGTCGAGATCGTCGAACCCAACGACTTCGGCTAGGGACATTTGCAGCTCGTCATCTCCGCTGTCGGTGGCTAGCGACGCCGTGATCTGCCCGGCTAGCTCTTGCGCGCTCATTCCGGGTTTCTGGAGGGTGATGGCCTGGCATTTCTGCTCCAGCCATGCTTGGTCGTAGAGAGCGGTCGACGGCGCCGGAGGGAGAGGTACGCCGTTGATGTCGTCCAGGTCATCGGTGGTTTCGTCATCGGAACTGATAATATCCCAGATATCGTCCACAGTTCCTGGTGAAGAGTAGTCATCGTCAAGATCCAAATTTAAATCGCTTCCGTAGCTGAGCTGTTCAGTGGCGGGGTCCTTTGGGAGCTTCAACGCCGCAATCGCCTCGCGCATTGCTGTGAGTTGGGAGAGCCACTGCTCTGTAGGTCCTGTTCCGTCCATTTCGACTGGAATTTGAGGTCTAAATCTTCTATAAAAATAAGAAATTATCAGAACGGAACAGGGTATAGAGTCAGATCAGATTCTTGGGTGTTGAGATTGAGAACTAGTGTGTCATAACATAGCTAGCAGATTGAGTAAGCCGAAAACCGCCACGGGCTTCGGTGCTGGCCTGGGGCATCCGCCACCGTCAGACTGCGGAGTAAGGAAACGTCGCTTGGAGTCACCGCAGGAATGTCCACAAAGATAACCTGGTTATGTTTGCTTAATCCATCTAATGGTTTCAACGCTAAAGTGTGCGAAGGTAAAAGTGTTTCCAATCTCTCAACTGCGTACTATGATACAAAAGCCAATTCACAGCGCAGGGTTTTGCACGTTCTATGTACAATGGTCTCCAGGAAAGTCACACGGATCCAAACCACGCCTTCTGGTTAACCTCTAGTCATACCTTGCCGACTGAACGGCAGAAGGCTCTTTATGCCTGGCTAGCGTTGCACTTTCCAAGAGATATAATGCTCCAACTTTGCCAGACATTGGCCACTCTCTTTAAGGTACGAACAGCTCAGGGAGTCCTCAACATGCTGGAATAATCCAGAGAGCTTCGAGCAGAACTTGTCACAGCCGGGACAAACGTAATCGCCCTCTGTATCGATGTACTTCCGACTCTGGTAGCACTCACGCGCCAGGCGGTTGATATCATCAATGTCTGTTCCGGAGGGACAGCGGCCTGACTCGAGATGGATCAACATGCCTGAGAAAGTCTTGAAGAACTGGTAGCACCCGTAGCATTGCAAATTCCTAGCCTGGTGGCGCTGCCGATGCTGCAGGTTCAGAAAGTTAGCGACATTTGGAGAACGATATGAAAAGTCACTTGCCATTCGAAGGTCGTTCTCATTGTTGAAGTATTTGCCGCAAATGTCGCATAGATTGTGATAGTCGACGCGATGAGCCTTTAGTTCCCAAGCGGTATCAAATCGAGGCCGAGAAGCGCATAGCGTACAGATGTGACTGTGGACTGGGGAAGAAAACAGATGCTGATTCTTTGCAGTCGTAGAAACGAAGACCCGCAAGCAAGTTTCGCACCATTCATGGCGACTGGTGTATCGACAATGATCGTACAGTGCCTTTTCGGTTTCAAACCACCTATCGCATAGGAGGCATTTGTAGTCTTCGCCGTCGTAGTAGAGATGAGGTCCTAGCGACATTTTGCTGGTCAGATACTGGGATTGAGTAAAATTCAGAAGATCAATGCTCTCTGAACCTGGCATAAATAGGTAGAACCTGGCGCGCTGTCAGTGGATCTGTGCTGGTGAATTGATCAAGGGAACAGACAGTTAATTACTCCTTGCTAAAGTTAGGCGCCAGCAAACGGAAGTACCAGTTGCCCTGCATTGCAAACGAAGGACAAGCATTCGCCAACGTATCTGGTACATGAAGTCCCTGGCACCTTAGGATGAGGGGTTCGTATAGAGCAAACATTACTGCCAGTCCCTCTGCTCCCTTGAAATTATATATTCCACCTAAGAAGCACTGGCCAAGATATACCGCAACCAAGGGAAAAGTCGACTGAGCGATTGAGAGAGGTCAAGCACTTCAATACTGGCGGAAGAAATTCACGAACCCAGGCTCATAACTGTCTGTCTCATAATTACATATTTGCATGGAGTGGGTCTCTAATACTCATTCTAGATTCTGTGCAGTAGATACATATACATAGCAAAGTAAGACATACTATGGGGTGGAAGAAATGGAGAAAAAGAAAGAATGCCGCGCGAGTTTCATTCGGCCAAACTCGGCTTATTTCCAATATATACATGTAAAAGCACGAAATATGGTGAATATATAGCCATACTCAAATATGGTGCATATATCACGAATGCAATGTCTAAACTCCTGTAAAGTATAAAATGTTGACGAACAGCTTTTGATATCCGTAGCTTCCAAACCATATACAACAGTCTCTTGAGGCACAACGCAGGGACAGAAAAAATATATTGCGTACAATCGTAGTCAAGCAAATGAACCAACAACGGAATGGGGTATATGCGTGAGAAACTCTACCAGAAATACGGATTTCCATAAACATCCTGGTAACACTGGTAAATGTCTGGGCAGAATACTGGATCCTTTCCAAAAATGATGTGCCAGGAATATTCCATGATCCAGGCAGTGAGCTCGTCGGGCAACTTGTTCGTGAGAACCCAATTGTAGTACCGTTGATAATCACTGAGAGGACGCTTCAAAACCTGTGCTTTGGATACAGCAAATTGCGAGCAGCATGGTGCGCCAACAACTTCGGGTATGTTGGTGTTGTTGTGCAACTCCTCCCACACCCTGGCATAGACTCTACTGTTCTCCTTCCCTGGCTGAGGCGGATCCTCTAACGGACGGATTTCTTCAGGGAGACAGCCAGGCGTTGGCTGACACCGCAGGTTCACGAAGCCACTCTGTTGGACAAATTCTGTCTGAAGTGATCGAACCGATTCCACATTGCTATAATCCAGTGTATCGGTGTGCCAACCCGCCTCCCAGCCGTCTTTATGACTGTGAAGGAAAACCATTGTGGACGGGAGGTCATGGTAGTGATCGACGATGTATTGAAGGTAGGCAAGACTTTCGCGGCCTTTGTTTTTCGGGGTGTGTCGAGCCGCGTTCACGTCATCGACGGTGTAGATGAAGTTACGCCATCTGGATTGAAGTCAGCCTGAGCTCAGCGGGCAAGGCCTTTCCCATGGACGACTCACTCATTCAAATCAGTGCTCACCCACGAGGTATCCTCCCTGCTCAATTTGGCCATCACAATCACACGGTCATTGGGAACGATAATAGGAGTGATCTCGTAGGTTTGTTTGATCGGAAGAGGTTCTTCTACTGCCGGAACCGGTGTCGCTTGAGGCTTTTCATTTTCAGGTTTGCTGGCGGGAGTAGCGACAGGCTCCGCAGCGCCGCCCCCTACCACGTTGCCGAACTGCCAGGAGGACGGTACGTGCGAACCATCCTGAAGGGAATCAAGATGGCGCTTGATCAGGATGAAAGCGAGGATCAGGAGGGCAGCCAACCCAACACGGTAGGAAAGTCTCATCGCATAATATCTGTCGTAATTGCACTCTGACTCTATAATGCAGAGAAGGATCAAGGTGGTGGATGCAGACCAGGAGCAAACAACTTCGCGCAGGAAGGCAGAAAGGGATAGAAGGATGGATAGGAAAAACCCCAAGCTCCTAAACAGCTCAACAATGGGCAAACCGGAAAACAAAAGAACCTAGCCTAGAAGTAGCAAGACAATTGAAAGCTTAAGAATAAAACGAGCCTTGTCAGTCCTCACAGGGATGGCAAGGCGCCGAAAATTAGTTGACACGGTGTGCCGGCTAGATAGACCTAGACTACGGTGTTATATGGACCTTGTTGATCCCGCGGATTGGTGGGTTTCGGCGGTGAATTGGCGGTGATCTGCAGGGGCCGAGAAGATACGATGACACGGCCCAGTCTGTAACACTTCGCACGGTGGCTTTTTCTTAATCAATCTCAATCTCTCTTGAAACCGTAAGTCGACAGGGGCTGCAAGGATTCATAATCAAACATGGGAATCTGCAACAGATGCCGATAACATGCTTATTATTTATGTTTCTCTATTGATCGTTTATTTCATCTTCTGGAAAACGCTGCCGACGTTCCACACAAATACCTTAATGATGATGATGGTGCTGAAACGATTCCGATTATGTAATTTCCTTACTGTACCCGTGTACCTAGTCTCACTCGGGGTTGAATGCCGATCGTTCAACAGACTCGCTATGGCCCAATTCATCCACTTCTACTCCGCAGGTATCGTCCGGGTCCAAACTCCATGGTCACTGCGTCCGCCGGCCTCCGCCAGGGCCTTTGGGTCCAGTGTCCAGGATCCAAGGTCTATTGCTCTGACTCTCAAAAGCATTGACTGGATATCTAGATTGCCGACGTCACCCGTCAAGGAGCATAGACCAAGAGAGGATATTGTCATGTCAATATTTCTGGTCTTGAATATCCCCGTTTCTGATATGTTTGCGATCCACATCCGATGAGTTTATCTCAAACATCATCAGGGTACCATAACCGGGTTTGCCTGTTGCAGTGTCTCACAGGCTGAATTGGCGGTTACCTCTCTGTGGTTCTCCACAGATAGGAAGCCTATCTCCAGGGAACGTCAAGGCACAGTGTGGACATGCCATACGCATAGTGATTTACTCACCACGAGCCGAGGCTCCTCTCACTCATCTTTACCCCACATATAGAAAACAGACAGTCTATATGACGCATTCCAGAACATCTGTGGAGTGGAGAATCGATCTTGCAATGACAATGTTTGCTACGACTGGCATAGCGCCGGCCGGGTCACTTGTAGTACTCCTCAAGGAGCGCAAACTGATACTGTTCACTACTGTACTACAAAGGGAACATGTGCTTCTGAATGGATCAGCCGGCTTGTCTGACAGTCAGCTGTAAGGTGCCCTGGAGAATCTCTCCTGTGCTAGCAATATGAGCTTTCTTCCATGGAACCCATACATACGGAACTGCATTCTAAGTTGGAGTTGAATTGATATTGATACTAAGTTGAATAGCTATCCCGCAAGCACTCATAATACTGAGCACAATGATGATTTATGAGAGATTAAACAAGTGAGTAGCATTTGCAGGGCGTGATACATTCGATTCGTCTAAGGTATCTCAATAAATCATCATAAGTCAAAATCGTTATGGGCACATCGTGATCCGGTCAACAACATCCTGCTCAGCGAAATTGTTCCAACAGACCTCCCACCAGAAATAAAGGACGCATCTATCAAGTATCGTCAAGCTCAAACCGACCGCCCAACTGAGTGAAATGTCAACAGAACCTAAGAAGACCCAAAGAAAACATCAGACAACGCCATGCCAAAACACAAATGCACAAAGACGCTATGGTAAATGCATGAACAACCAGGAAAGATGAACAGCAACAAAGCCATCGGCAAAGCATCAGCAGCACCTCCCCTTCTTCTTCGTGATCTCCATCAGCTCATCAGCCTCGTCACCAGTACTGCTTGGCGGAAACCCAAGCCAACTCCTGCGCTTATCACCATGACCCAACCGGAAACTGCCGTTCCCATCGATATTCCCCAAAGACGAAACAACCCCGTCAATTCCGGGCGTTGTTCCCTGCGACGAGCTATTCGCCGCCTCCCGCTTATTCCGCTGCTCAACCAGCTTCCGGGTGATCACACGAAAAACCTCCTCGATGCCCTCCCCATCCTTGGCACTAATCTCGTGGCAACAATCCCAGCCGATGTCCTGTCCCCAGAACCCACTACTGCGCTTGCTATCGGGACTCTGCAACGCACTAGACGACGCACCAAATCCCAGCCCCATCCCCGCCGTCGGCGGCGGTGTCGATGCCCGCGACGGGTACAGCTGCTCAGCGACATAGGCAATCGTCCGCTCGAACGGCACCCTGCGGCGGGACGGATCCAGCGCAACGATATCCGACTTGGTCCCGACAACATGGATCACGATGGGGTCATCCTCCGCCAGATGCTTCTTCAGCTCTAGCAACCACCCCGTCATCTCCTCGAAACTCTGCTCGTCAGTGATATCATAGCAGAGCAGACACGCGTTCGCGCCGCGGTAGTACAGCCGCGAGATACTCCGGAACCGCTCCTGGCCGGCCGTGTCCCAGATTTGGAGACGGACGATGGTATCAGAGGTGGTGTCGAGGACGCGCTTGGTGATGAAGGAGGCGCCGACGGTGGACGTGATGGTCGCGGGGTTAAAGGCGTTCTTTACATAGCGCTGGACGAGAGAGGTTTTGCCGACTCCTGTGTGATAGGTAGACAGTAGTTAGCGAAATGGCACTAATTACACCCCAACAACGAATGCCTCTCACCTTGAGAGCCCAGCACAACGATCTTAGCCTCGAGGGAGGAGCTCATGGCGGGGTAGACGCGATAGCGGGGCGGACGGAGAGCGTCTTTTGCATGATCCGGCCGAGCAGATCCTCAGGGGGAAAATTGTCCGCGATGGCACGGACTGGAACTAGAGCTGTAAAGATGATTCTAGACCCGGACAATGAGATAAGGGTCTAGGCAGACGGATACAAGCTGCACGAAAAGGTTCTGGACTCTTACCCGGTCGGACGGGGAATCGGAGAGGGGGAAAGATGATGAAAACAAGGAAGAAAATAAGGAGCGGG